CCTGGGGCCGGCCCCGTGGCTTAGCAGTTAAGTGCGCGCTCTCCGATGCTGGCGGCCCGGGTTTGGATCCCGGGCGCGCACCGACGCACCACTTCTCCGGCCATGCTGAGGCCACGTCCCACATACAGCAACTGGGAGGATGTGCAGCTATGACATACAACTATCTACTGGGGCTTTGGGGGGAAAATAAATAAATAAATCTTAAAAAAAAAAAAAAAAAAAAAGAACCTTGCTCCTTACAGAGGTCTGAGGAAAAGAACCTTGCTCCTTACAGAGGTCTGAGGCCAAAGCTACTTGTTTAAAATCGAGTAGAAAAATTTCCCTGGTAAACCAAATAAATGTCTATTTTCTAATACTTTTGATGTTTTATAAATCAGAGAGTTCTCTCGACCTGAGACAATACTTACTACTAAGAGCCCTAAAATAGCCCTAAATTTGGATCAATTTGGAAACCCCCAATTGCCAAACATGAATCCTCTATATCGAGGTCAGAGGCCAGGAATGGCAAAGCTGATTCAGAGAAGGCAAAGGCAGCCTCACTATGTCCATAAATAGCCTCCTGACCCGCAGGCTTAACTGGAGTCAGATTCTTGGGTGAAACAAAAGCTGTATCCTGAAGAGTTTGGAAGCCCACCAAGGGTAGGCCTGTCTTCAAGATCAAGTTGATGCTTGCACCAGAGGTCACAGACCACTTCAGATTCTGACCAGCAGCATCAACACCACAAGGGGCTGTGGGATGGTGCCAATCACCCAATCCCCAGATTTTCCAGGGTGCCATGATGCATGACCCTGTGCAGCTGATGAGGGGGAGGCAGTTACGGAGCCGCATGACGTAACTGAGCTTTCACGGACGATTAGAGCCCAAGGGAACCTTAGGGGCCCAGTGGTTTCCAAACTGTGTTTAGCAATAGAACACTTTTTCCTCTCAAGGAAATCTTAGCTGGAAATCTCTATGCCACAGGCAAAAGAGAAACTGCTCTGGCTGAAGCCAGGGGGGTGGGAGTGATCTGTAGCCTCCCCACTTGGCTTTCTCTTGCCTCCTGTGCAGGCCATTGGAAAGAATCAAGGGCTTGGAGACTGTGGCTTAAATCCACTGCTTAAGTCCACCACCAGCAGTTTGCAGAGCAGGGAACTCAGTCACAGAGAGCCTACGTGTGTGCTGGAAAGAGGGTGGGCTCTTGATGTGGACAGACCTGGGTTCCAACGTCAGCTCTGCTGCTTACCAGCTGTGACTAGAAGCTTAGGAAATTATTGAAGCTCTCTGGACCTCAGCTTCCTCCTAGTATGGTAATAAAATACTTACCTCCAATCCTCAAGTGAGCATTGGAGATGATGCGTGTGTAAGAAGTTCTCAGTAAATGGTTATCGGCTCCTAGTTTTAAGGGGCTTGCCTCGGGGCACATAACTAGTTAACAGCACAGATGGGGCTAATTCACCCCAAACCTCATGCATTCCCTCACTCTGCTCACACTCTTCACTCACTCTCACTCTGCTTCCAGGTGATGTTCACTCAATTTGTGTCCCTTTAGTTGGGGAATTGGCTCCAAACAGAAAAACAAAAACAAAACCAAAAACCCAAAGCACCTGAAATGGGCAGCAGGAAGGGAAGTGACCTGTATTGAAATAACTATCTGAAGAAACATTATCCCCTACACCGAAAAAGAAACTTGCCAGCGAGTGCCATTTCTGGTTTGTTTTTAAGGATTTTTCTTTGGCATTCTCATTAGCAAATCTCTACCTCATACCAGAATCCCTCACAATTGATGCCAAGTAGGCCTGCCGTCACTCTAACAGAATTTCTCCAGAACTCCATCAGCAACTTCTTTCTGTGACGTCATCTCTTTTCTATCAGTTGTGTCTACTGTTCCAAATGCTGTCTATTCTCCCGGACTAAGATCCAAGGGCATGGATCCAGTCTTATCCAAATGTCACAACAACAGACAGAGGTCTAGAGTTACATTACCTGTCTACTACATACTCCCACCTTCTGCAAATAAACTGGGCTGCTTCCACTGTCGGCAATTCTGAACGCAGCCAGTTCGAAGAAGCCACCTTTATAGGTAAGCCACACCAGAACCACTCTATAAAGCACACAATAAAATGCTTCATGAACCTTGACCAAACCTGGGATTGTGTCCAGGGGTACTTCTAAAGAAAATATAATAAACTATAACAACTGGAACAATTTTTAAATTGCTTCCATCCCATCGTATTACTTTAATGTAATAATTTAACTAAATCTGCTCAGCAACCACATTCCACCCTTAGGAACCTGATAAAATTATATAAGCTACCAACTCTGACTTTGGCTTGTAGTTTCAAACTGTGATTCTATTACAAAGGACAACAAACTTAAGCTTAGAGCACAGCTGTGACTTTTCAGTCTCTACAGGATGATTTATCATTGTCAATTAGATATTTAGCTTAAAAAATACAGACTTCAAGACCTCTGTGACTTATGATTGTGTGTATCTAGATAAGTTATGGCTGGAGAAGAAAGCAGGAAAAGTTTGCAAATTAGGAGGAATTAACTATGTTTGTCACTGGGAAATCAATGAATATCTTGGTACTCAAATATTAAGTTTGATGCAAATAAGAAAATGTAATCTTACAAGTTCTCTGTTATTAGGTACCAGTCTTTTAAAATGTCTGATTGCAAGTGGAGAATTGCTACAATTAGATTTGTGATATAACTATCTTTTTAGTGGAAATCATCAACTGTAGTGTGCCACATATACACCCAAAACATCAACCCTCTTCACGAGTGAAAGAAGTCTAACTATCTAAGTGAGGGGGAGTCATTTCACCCCTCCCCGCAACTTACTATCATATTCTTAGATGAAAATATTTCCTCATTTCCAATAACTTATTCCCTGCATTTTGGGAGATGAAAGCATGTTCCTTCAAGTGTACAGGAAGATCTGCCAATTGCCGTCCAACTGGCAATTTCTGGTTTACCACTAGAATATTCCTTCCTTCCTTTAACTTATCTCATTAAAGAAGTTCAACAGCTACCTATCCAACAGAATTCTTCTAGCAGCAATGAACTTAATGTAACTCTAGTCACCAGTAAAATGCCAGTGGGTTACCTATCAAGATGGATATAGATGTATACACACACACACGTGCGCACACACACACGCACATATACACAACGCAAAACTGAAAATTACCTCAGATCTTAAAAATAATTTAAAAAATAGCCAAAGTGATATAATTCTTACCAAGCATAGTTAAGTGGGACATTGGCAAAAAAGGTCATTTACTCCCTGTCATTCAACCTCCTCAAAATTATGAGTTGCCTATTAGTGCTAAGGGCATAATTCAGAAATCATGGTAAAATTTTCTCTGCATTTTTATGGTAATTTAATTTCCTTTTCCTCACTTTAAAAGGAAATTATAATTACCAATCTTTACTCACAATAAATGGTGAAGGGCATTTACATTTCATTTTGTATCCCTGTAAGCCAAAAAACTTGGATGAGTTTAAAAATATCACAGGGGATTAGTTCATAACTCATCAGTGCTTTCTAGTACAGACATGAATAATTTATCATCTGAAACTTGGTATGATAGTTTTGACTCACACATGGGAAATCTTATTAGCCCATGACAGAATCAAATCATTAAAAAAGCTTTGTGTATAAGAATTTTCATAAGCGTGTGAAGCCAAGAATGTATATGCAATATTAAAATGTACACATACAATACAGACACACAGATTAACATTGTTGAAAAACATTTAGATTGATCACAAAGACATTCAGTCCATATATAAAGATTATACTCTTTTAAAAAATGAAGTTGTATGCTTCTTTTTATTGATACAGCTCTGACTTAAAGATGCTTTAATAATTCTCTCCTTTTCCCCAAATAAGATTAGAAGCCTACCACTAACCCTTGCCTTCAAACCTCCCAAGCTAAAAAATAGGGAGAGGAGGAAAGAAGGAGGACAGAAGGAAGGATGGAGGAAAGAAAGGAAAGAGAAGAGGGAGGGAGGGGAAAAAGCTTTTCTCAATTCCAATAACTAACTCCTATCACTGAGTAGAATTACATTGAAACATAATACCTTTACAGACTCAAAAATAGCATCTCATGATACAATCTGTAGTTACTATATCCCTGGAACATTAGAAAAGACAGAAGAAAACTATAAGAATAGAATTTCTGTCCATTTCCATTTATCACATTGATGATAAACTTCTCAACTTACCCCCCAATTTTGAGTGGATTGGCTTTTGTCTCCTGAAGAAATAATTTTATGTTGCTAATAGCAAAGTCTTTAAAAGCCCCAAACCAGCCACCTGGCTGAGGCTGGGGCTTAGCTTGGGAGAAAGAAAAAGTAGCAAACTATAGTTGAGCTGGCTACAGGGAACTGACAAATAGGTCTACAGTGGACTAAAGGGGAAAATGTAAAAGCAAATAGTTAACAAACCATAAAGCAACATACAAATATTGTTATTATTAATGATGATGAATGATAATAATAACAATAATTACAATATTTTCAATGTTGATTATTTTGATCCACAAACCCAAAATGCAACTACAGGCCATGAAAATCAACAAATTAGTGGTCAACTACAGGTCTGCTTTGCTTAAGAGCTTTGGCTAAAGAAAACCATCAGCTCCAAAATTCTACCCTGTGGAACCCAAAAGAAGGCTCACTGAAGCCTCAGCAATTTCTGCTCTTGGAGTAGAGAATCAAACTGATTAAATTTTTTTTTCAAGTTTGAAATTTCATATTTATTTCAAAACCCTAAAGAAATTATATTCCCTTTTTCCTCAGAATTGAACATACTGCTTTAAGCCACTTTTATTTCACTGCAATAGAGCAATTTAAACTAAAATTTTATATAACTTATTCAATATATTCCTCAAGAAAGACTGAGACTAAAAAGGATGTACAAAGCTGTACATCTATTTAGTGAGTTCAAACACATATATTAAATAAAATCTTTACTAAAAAACATCATCATTGGGACTAAGTTTGATGTTACCTGTGGTACTCCTAATTTTCGGCATGCTTCCAAAAAATTTTCCACATTTCTTCTGCATTTGGCCATGCTAAGTTTGGGCTATAAATGCAAATACACAGAAATAATGAATTATTAAAAGAGAAATAACTTCAATAACAGGTTAAATTCTAAACTTGCTAAATGGCACAAGTAATACATTTTATTGGAGAAGAAAAACACATAAGCAAATAGAAGACAATAAAAACTTATCCAGAAACATCCACCTAGAGATAAGAACTATTAATAGTTTGGATTATATTTTTCCAGACATCATGTGTGCATGTGTGTGTGTATACAAAGATATACATATGTATGCATTTACATAGATATGTGTATATTTGCAGAATTTCTGCATGTGTATATGCATGTATATATGTATCAATGTACATATGCGTATGTACGCATATGCAAAATTTTCTGCATATGTATGTGTCTGTATATATATATTTCTGTATACATGCACACACATATACATACATACAATTTTTATGAGATCGCACTCTTGTGTAACCTACTTTAGTTCACCTAAAAATACACCATAAGCATCATCTTTTCCCATCAACAAATATATTTCTATATGAAGGGTTAAACTCACCAGGCCAATTAATCTCCTTCCCGCCAAAGCAACAGGTTTAATTAGAAAGAGACAACATTGAGGTAAACGATACTCAAAATGGCAGGACTTAACAAGAGCCTCTCACAATTGAGCTGGTCCTGGCTAGGTGACCTCTAAGGGTTACGATGGATAACAGGTAGCTCTGATTCACATATTTTAATTTTTACATGGTAAGTTTTAAAAGCTTTGCTGCTAAATTTTAATATTCCAGTATGAGTTCTTTTAAAAAGGGAAGCAGGAAGCATGACTGACTCCAACAGTCTAGGTGTAAGAACAATGTCTCATAAAGACTGACCTTACCGTGTTAATGGGAGTGAAGGACCCTTACTCCATCTTATAGGGGCCCACACCAATCACCATAAAAATCTAAATTTGCACAGTATTTATTAAAAAAAGGGACTTTTGCCTCCCCCTAGCCCCACTCAATGCAAAAAAAGAAAGAAACCCTGCTCATACAGAACAATTTAATTTAGAAGCTAAACAAATATTCTCCATGTTGGCTAGAGTGGAGGTGGTGCCCCTCACCATAAGGCCTGCAAAGATGGGGCCAGAAGCTGCTTGGGTGGTTTTGCCCAACCCCTGGCATGTCTCAGGACAAGACCGCTGCATTAAGCCTCATGCAAAGCGAAGGAACACTCATGGGTAATGTGACATGGGCATAATAGAAGAATTGGTCCTGGCCTAGCAGACAGGGCACCAAGAGGCATTTCTTCATATTGAGACCCTAACATTTGTCTCTCTGATCCTCTAGGCCATTATCTTTCTTCATCTACTTATGATTTGGGGGGGGGGTCTGTTCTGAAATTCCAAAGATGCCCAACACCATTCAAAATATTTAGGGCAGCCCAGTCAAGTCCATGTGTTTCAAGCTACATAAAGAAAATTTCCCATCTCTGGAAGTGAGAGGGGGCCCATTCTAAGATTGTTGCCTACTCTGCGAGTTAGAAAAGTACAAATACAATGATTTGACATAATACAAATACAAGGAGGGCGAAAGGGATAATTCGGCACGTGTGTGGTGATGGGTTGTAATTGGTATTTGAGTGGTGAACATGATGTAATCTATGCAGAAATAGAAGTATAACGATGTACACCTGAAATTTATACAATGTTAGAAACCAATGTTACTGCAATAAACAAAAATAAAAAAAAAATAAAAAAAATACAAATACAATGATTTGATCCAACCTCACCACTGGTCAAAGAATCAAAAATTACACAAATTATACCAACTGGGATGCCAATGTTTAGCTTACTAAATTTTTTTGTCAAAGACTGAGGAAATCCATCTTAAGAGACTGTCCCTTAGCATATTGACAATGATAGTGATTCTGTTTATCACTATAGTCCCTCAGCTTGGCATAAAAAATGGACAACGTCAGTTTCATGAACGAAAAGTTAGAATGCTTAACGGTGGCAATAACCCAGGCAGAAAAGGCACTCTTATCCACTGCTGACGGTGCAGAGACGATTGCATTTATTGAGTGCTTACTATGCGTCAGATACTCTACTTGGTGCTAAGGATACACCTGTGGAATCGAAAGACACAATCCTCATGGTCACTCGGCTCTAGTCTAGTTGGAAACGTTGACAAGTTAAAGGAGATTATAGTATAATATGGTATAGGTCTTAGTTGTGGGGAGGTTGCTATAGGAGCAAAAACAAAAGGAAAAAAATCCAACCAGTCCTAAGAATGGCTTGCCGCCTATAAACACTGAAATAGAGGAGAAATGGGAGCTAGCAATGCGGCAGGTGAGCAGATGTGGAGCAGGGTGGGAACAGCCCTCTAGTGTAGCGAGAGCAGCCTGTGCAGACACTGGGGCAGAGAGTGACGGCACAGAGTAGAGACGGGATCAGGTTCTATGGCTACCGTGTGGCTGGGCCTGGTCACAGGGGGCTTCAGGATGCTCACTGAAGAATTTTTGAGAAGTGGGCATTTAGAAACAGCCTGCATTTCTAAAAAGGAAAACTACAACATAATGACATAAGCAAAATGTTAAAATTATTAAAATGGATATCTATGAAGAATTTTAATGACATGGAGAAACATTTAGGTTTTGATAATAAATTTTAAAAACTACTAAATCATGTATATGAGATGCTGAGAACTCAAAAACAACTGAAATGTAGAAAGAATGCTAGTAGTACAGAAGACAAATGTTAGTGATTGTCTTTGGGTGGTGGAGCAAAGGAGGATTTATTTTTCTTCTGCATTTCTCTATTTTCTCTTTTTCTCCAATCAGGCATTATTTCCCATTATATTTTCAATTGAAAAAATTTTATTTAGGGCCAGCCCCAGTGGCCTAGTGGTTAAGTCCGGTGTGCTCCACTTCTGCGGCCTGGGTTCGGTTCCCGAGCATGGACCTGCATCACTTGTCTGTCAGTGGCCATGTTGTGGCCGTGACCCACATACAAAGAGAGGAAGACTGGCAGCAGACGTTAGCTGAGGCCAAATCTTCCTCAGCAAAAAAAAAAAAATTTCTTTAAAATAGAAAAAAGGTGACAACCAAAGGATCTCTAAAATTATGTACCATTTTCCCTGAAGTATTAATAAAATATACAAAAGTGTACAGATATGCGATTCAGTGTCCTCTTATACCTTGTAAAATGATAATTGTATATTCACATTGGAGGCTAAGGAGTCATGGTTTCTCTCTTATAATTTGGGAAAAATTATTAAATGAGAATTTGGCACATGGCTCAGACAACTTTATAGCAGTGTGGATCCCAGTGATAATTGGGATCCCATTTATAATTAAATACTGGAAAGTTTCACATTTGGTTATAGGACAGAATTTAGTGCTCAAACTAAGGCAGCTATAGGCAGATTTGAAAGAGATGACAAATTGATCTTTTTTCCCCCATGTTCTCTGAGGCAAAAAACTGGTCAAACTTTTCAAAGGAAAAATATGTTCAATAGTACAGACAAGGGCCGGCCCTGTGGCTTGGTGGTTAAGTGCGCGCGCTGCAATGCTGGTGGCCCGGGTTCGGATC